TAGATTGGATACAATCTAACCCGAATGAAATATCAAAAATTATATAAAAAAATAGAACATATAAAAAATTAAAATATATACATATATATTCAAATGAAGAAAATCTGAAAATTACAAAAATATACCCTTTTGGCATTGAAAAAGCACTTTTGTAAAAGTGCTTTCATAAAAATGCTTTTGTAGAAGTGCTTTCGTAAAAGTATTTTCGTACAAGTGTTTTTGTAAAAGTACTTTTGTAGAGGTGCTTTTATAACAGTACTTTCCTAGAAGTGCTTTCATAAAAGTGCTTTTGTAAAAATGCTCTCACAAAATCACTTTTATAAAAGTACTTTTGTAAAAATGCTTTCACAAAATCACTTTTATAAAAGTACTTCCATATAAGTGCTTTTATAAAAGTACTTTTGTAAACTGCTTTTGTAAAAGTGCTTTCATAAAAGTTTTTTCATAAAAGTGCTTTTATAAAAGTACTTCCATAAAAGTGCTTTTGTAAAAGTGATTTTATACAAGTGCTTTCGTTTTAAAGTACTTTTATAAAAGATGTTTTATTAAACTACTCTCATAAAAGTACTTTTATAAATTCATAAAAGTACTTTTGTAAAAGTATTCTTGTAAAAGTGTTTATAAAAGTATTTTTCATAAAATTGCTTTTATAAAAGTGCTTTTGTAAAAGTGTTTTCGTAAATGTGCTTTCATAAAAGTGATTTTATGTTATTTCAGTTCTAATCAGTTTCAAATTGGACAAGGGTTTGGTCTTATGATTGGATTATTGGAAATTTGGTTAAGTCCAATTCAAACCAATAAGAATATGGACTAATTTATTTTTGGATTGGCCCAACCCAATAATTACAATGAACTGTCCAAATCCAATTTAAGAATATTTGGATCGGATTGGATCCAATTCAAAACCGGTCAATTGACACCCCTATTCATATCTCATACTATTATTTTTTTCCGTAAATATCTCTATTAAACATATAGAAAACAAAAGAAAAATAACAACACAAACTTAGGAAAAAAGTCAAAACAAAAAATTAGTAGAAAAATAATGGCAGAACATTAAAACATAAATTGTGTTAATTAACAAAAAAATATTAATAGAAAAATAACATAAATTTTCTAAAAAATAATGATAAATATAACTCTACAAATTTTCATGATCCTATTATATATGAGATTGAATCTACTCCTCACACTGGCCTCAAAGGAACATCCCACCTTGTATTGGGGACATGTTATTATTCATGGGAGATGTTCACAACGCATAGTGGGATGTGCATGTGAGGTGAGCTTTATAAGAAGCAAATCCCAATTCATTAGATTTTGGGTTTTCCCGTGCATCACACGGGACCCTACTAGTATATATACTAAAGTAGAACATGCCACGTCAGATGGCCTCTCCTTTCTCCATTAACCCCAATGGAGCAATTCTATAGGGGGTCCAAAATTGCCTTCAGAAGCCCATGGAGTTGATACCGTAGCATCACTTATCACCCTTTTTCCTCTCATTTTTATTAGGAAACTAATTATCCCCTACTTCCTCTTAGATCATCTTTAGCTATCTCTAATTCCTATTTATCTTCTCCCCCACTTTTCATCTATATCTATCTAAAGAAAGTTTCAATTAAAAATTTTAACCATTATTTAAATATTATAATTAAATTATGTAATTACTTTAAAAGAAATAAAATTTAGATAACAAAAACTTAAATATTTTACATATTATTGAAATACTTAACATAATTAAATTTTAAATAGTTAAAATAACAAAATTATGTAATAATAGTAAAAATTATAATTTTATGGATTATTGAATTTAATAAATAATAAATATTTGAAAATTTAAATAATAGCACTATTTAAATAATTAAACAATATTTTAAGTAACTAATTTTTAAATACTTTAAATATCAAAAAACTAATAACTAAATCATATTTTATATATTATTTTAAAAACAAAAAATAAATTAAACAATGAAATCATGTTATAAATTTAAAAATTTATCGAAAACACAAATAATTATAATAGATATAATAATATTTGATAATCAGAATATAAAATATAAATACTTTAAAAATTAACTAAACAATATTATTAATAACTAATTTTTAAATGTTTTAAATATCAAAAAATTAATACTAAACATAATTTAAAAAACAAAAAATAGATTAAATAATGAAATTATGTAATAACTTTCAAAATTTATCAAACACACAAAATTAACTATAATTTATTAATAATATTCGATAATAAGAATATAGAATATAAATAATTGATACAATTTTAAATATTATTGAAATAGTGAAAGTATATTAAATAACTTAAAGCTATTGAAGCTTTAATAGTTATTTATTGTATTTTCACTATAAACTTTTAATAATTATTGAAGATTAAACTATTGTTATTTGTCAAAGATTTGACTATCAATTTACTGAAATTAGGAGTGTTCACTAGGTAGATCAGTTCGGTTGCAGGTTGTTTAGCCAACCAAAATGTCTTGTTAGGTTGGGGAATTTGTCACTCGAAAGAAACCAACCACTAGTGAAAGCCAACCAACTCGAATTGTATTGGCCAATGTTTTAAAAACCAACTCGGAGACCGACATACTTTTGCATTTGGGTTGTAGTCACCGGTTCAACCGTCTTGGTCGAATGAGTTAAGTCGTTCCACATAAACACTCTATATATTTATATACATATATATGTGTGTTTGTGTGTGTGTGTGTGTGTGTGCAAATACATATTTTATCAATAAATAGTGTATAATTATGTTTTACATATAATATATGTATTATTTTATATTTTTAATTCAGTTTTAATTTTGTGTTTATAAAAAAAAAGTTAAAAATTACCATTTGAGGAGGAAAAAAGGGTTTTTTCACAAAAATAATGAATCAAGGCACCCATGGCACCTTAGGACACATAGATCTTGAAAAGTTACCCAAAAAAAAAAAAAATATATATNTATATATATATATATATATATATATATATCACCTCAATCAAACATCGGAGTTCAAAGTTATGGCCTCCAAAGGTTTGTACATGCATTAAATATGCAACCTATAACCTAGTAGCCGGGTCGAATAGGTCAACAATTGAACCCCTAAGTCAAATGGTTTTTTACCAAGTTAATAGTTTTTTACCAAAGGGTAGGTTTCAATAAAACTAGACCTAAAATCGAGATTAGGTGACGATTCTAACAATTCAACCAATTGAGTCAATGGTAGGTTGAAAACATCAGTACCAATTTGGGCATATTTTCAATTTGGTTAGTTGGTTCAAAAGATTTAAACTTAAAGAATTAGATTATATTTAAAAAGTGCAATGATATTATTAAAAGAATAATTTAAAAACTTATGTTTACAATATAAAATATTTTAACTAAGAAATATGAGAATTTTCCCACTTTCCTGTATTAAAAAAGTATATTTAAAATATAAAATATTAATATATTAATAATCAAGTGGTCCAATTTGGTTGGTTTACAACTAACCAAACCAGAACTAACCTAACTTGGTTGGGTTGGAAAGTTATTGAACCAAAGCCGACTGGAAATACTATAAAGTAACCAACTCGGATTGAGTTGAGTCAGTTTGATCGGTTTCATCAATTTGATGAACATCCCTAGATGAAATTATTATTGTTATTTTTCTGTTGCAAAAAATAATATATAAAATATAAATAATTATTAATTATTTAAAATTAAATTATAAAACAATTGTCTACCCTTATGTATTTCTATCATTTAACTTTCACTTAACAAAATTCATGCATCACACAGGTCCTCGCTAGTATGGACAATAATGAATCCAAGACTAGTGTACTTCTACATGTGTTCATACATGCATCCATGCATGCATAGATATATAAGCACTTTCAATTCATGCTACATGCTTTCCTTGTAGCACTGGCACCAACTTTTTTATTTTTGCAGGAAGTAGAAACAAAGCATCCACAGGGGTCTCAATAATATCTCCAAATGAACATTTGGTTGCAGACACAGGACATATGTATCAAGCCTTGGGCCAGATGATGCTGAGCTCTCGGCGTGATTCATGCATTTCAGCTGAAGATCAGATAGGGAAATCACAGAACAAAGCTTCTTGCATATTTGGAAGACATGCTAACAAAAATCCGAACTGGAGAGACAAATGCAACATGGATGGGAAAAGCTTTTGTTCAACATATTTTATCTCTTTCTAGGAATCATATGGAACAGTACATGTAAATAGAAATAGTAAATAAAATTGTAAATCATGAACTAGCCAACCGTGCTAGAACAAATGTGAGACAGTGCATGAGAGAAAACCTCCTTGCTGGATCCTGGATGGAGCTTGTGCATCTTGACCTTATTAAGAGTTGGTTCATATCATGTATGTTTTCTCTTCTGAGCATATTGGGTACAAAATACAAAAAGGAACCTCAGCCATTATAAATACTGGGGCTACATGCACTTCAAGCAACAAACTACAAGTCATAAGGGTTTTTAAACCCAATGTATCAATAACCAAATGCAATGCACTTTCCATTTGATCCTTCAAAAGTTGACAGGGTTAAGATGAGATCAACTCAGTGCATCTGATCTTACAAGTTACAACCTTATCCAAATGTTGATCTTTCTTTTTGAATGGTTACCCAAGTATAGATCTTCGTACCCAGGTAACAACTTGAAGGTACCATCTCACTTGCTGGTAATGTCTCCTGCTGATTGTAGAGCCTTTCATCTTCCCCAACCTAAAAAATTCCAGGTAACAACCTGTTTGATTTGCTTCTTAGCAGCCTTAGGCTTCAGATTATGCTGATCTTACATGAGGCTTGGAAGCAATAGATAAGATGAACTAGGGTAGTTTGACCTAACTAAATAGGTTTTAACCATGTCTGGATTGGTTTTCATTAGATTGCAAACCCATAGTACACAACTACACAGCCATGTTGTTAACAATTAGGCAACATTCAAACACACAGGAGAGGGGATCCAATCTTATAAAACTAGACAATATATTGAAATCTCATATTCACAAACCAATGTTGATTCCCTAGTGACTACATGTGTTCCACATGAAAAACAGCAGGAATGCAGAAATGCACAAGAAAATTCAACGTACTTCTGAGAAAATAAAATTTCAGAAAGAAAATGAATGTTGAGGAATGCATTAGGAAATGTACAAAATTAAAGGTTATTTTACAAGTGAAGGAATTAGGACCAACATAAATGGAGGAAACAAGTTTAGAAGCTTGAAATATGGTCTGACCCCACATCCGACCGAATGACAGAGCTCTCAATGTGGAATGTAAATGACTCTGCCAACTCAATTGCATCCTGAACTTGGAGGTGTGTCCCTTGCTGCCTAACAATAATGGATGCAACCCTAGCAGCCAATGTGCCCATACCTTTCAAATCTGATGCACCACGTAGAATACCATATAAAATACCAGATGCATAAGCATCTCCAGCACCACATGAGTCAACTGGTACACATGGAGATGGGGGTATATATACAGATTCACCTTTTACACCAATGTAAGAGCCTCTTGGACCATCAGTGACAGAGACAAGAGGAACAAAATGGCTCAGATACCTCGTTGCAGACAAGGGACTCTCATTTGAGGAAAAATGACAGAAAGCCCTTGCTTCGTCACCGTTCGCAAAAACAATGTCCGCATGATTCCCTACAATATCCCTGAGTGGAGGTTTCAAAATAGATGTTATTAAAGCACCAAAGGATGAATGATATGGATTTCTGAATCATGCAAGGTTACAACATTGGTATAATAATATGGAGTCTGACTAAGCACCAAAGCAACAACATAAATCATTGGACCACCCATCAGATGGGAAATATTACAAAAATCATATGGATTTGCAGAATTGTTATTGACAGTAAACAAAGAAAAGCAAAGAACGAGATGTTTAGTGATCCACGAATGTTTAATTACTGACTTTGTGCTTCTGACCATCAAATTAGTTTTGCCTAACATGTGAATGAGATGGGCCATTTGCCAAGTGTAGCATGAGAAGAAGAAATTAAACCAGTTTTAATAGGGACAGGAAGTTTTGAAAAACCTAGGAACAGGTTATGATTCAATAACTGGTGTATTAGTTAAGTCAGAATGTATTGTTCCAATAAGAAGATTGTGAATAAGATTCCTTTGACAATGGGTAGGTTTCCAGGGAGAATCTAACTATTGAGAAGGACGCAGGTGCTTATAAGACGATCAACAACCTCTTCGGTCTCTCACGGGTCATCGCCTTCTCATACTCAATATCTTCTATCACTGTACTAATTACTTTTTGTCTAATGAAATTTCATCTTTCAACTCATGATCAACATTTTTTATGGTTTAAAATGCGAGTAAACAATTAAAAATGTTACTTTTTCCCTTTTTTTCCTTTCAACTCAAGAAGCTTAAGTACACAGCTTAGATGAGGAATTTATTACCTATAACAAGTCCATGAGATTTCCCTTTTTATTCCTTTTCCTCTTTCTGTTTAGTTAATGGAACCAGTTGTCAATTAGTTCAGCATGGAAGTAGGAGTTTCTGCTTAAGAGTATAAAAAACTTAACATGGGTTTCACTAGTCAAATTTGACCTGGCTTGTAATTTTTACCAGAAGAGTTGGTAGTAATTCTTTAGAAAGCGTTAAAGCAATGTACATAGCCTAGAGTCGTTAACATTACTCTGATCAATCATATACTCACCAACACAAGCAGCTCTTCAGTACAGAGCAGTAAGAAATCCTAATTTAAAGGTAAATTTCAAACAGAAATTCTTGATGGTTTGGGCACAGCCCAAGAATAAAACAACCATAATTGAGATATCCTTGGTATGACCCACCACAATGACCACATGTAGATCAATAGATCCTCGTCCACTCTGCACATGTACCACATAAAGAGCAGATGGAGGGGGTTAGTAGCTTCTTCATCTATCCTCCTTTCGAGCATTCCCACACAAGAAATCCGGGATAGGTTCAATGGACCCTAAAGGATTTCAATCACCAAATCCTACAATAAGTTCAAACACCTTGTATTGAAACCAAATGGTCAGAGTTGTAGAAGTATATAAGATTAGAGGCTTACCAGAAATCATCATAGTTTCTCTCAATGCAGGAAACATCAGATGCTGTGACAGCAACAAGAGCACCATGCCTGTGAGCATTCTGACATGCTTTTATAATTGTTCTGATTGTATGAGGAAATTCTAATAAGTACCCTTCTACAATGAGTATCTTTGTTTTGGAGATTACACTATCCAAGCAAGAGTCATAGCTAACAGTTGAAGATGTACCCTATGAGAATCAAAAAACACACGATATGTCAAGGTCACCTAAAGTTCACCTAGAAAACCAAACGGACAGGTGCAGCCAAATGCACACTGTAAAAGTTTTTTTTTCATAAACTAAAAGCATCATTGAAAAGCCTTAAAGAATTTTTAACTTCAACAGTCTTCTTAGAGAAGAAAATAGATGAATGAGAAGAAAGCATGTTAAAGTGAAAAAAGGGGGAAAAGAAAAGGAAGAAAATTGAGGAAGATAAGGCTGGAAAGAGAAGATATCTACGAGGATCCAAACAGTTTCATGCTATACTTTAAGCCAATTATAATGAGAAATGCTCAAAATTTTTATAGAAATTAATAATACTTGATGATCTGATAACCACGAGTTGCCCATTGCATGTTCCTTCGTTCAGAAACAGATAATGGTATAGAGGTAGTCCGCCCACTCCAGGGAACAAATCAAACTCAATTTAAATGAATGTCTTCCTGGAAATGAGGGACTTCAGGAGTTGGTGTGGCATTGAGAGGACACCATGGAGGCATCATACCTTTAGGAATTTAGTGTTTCGATGAGGGTTGAGAGGAGCAAGTAGTATTGGCCCAACTCTTTCCTTTTTTTTTTTTTTTGATCAGTTTGGCCCAACTCTTTCCTTGTCTGAGGTTTTTCATCCATGTGGTCAATCATTCTGCAACATGATAATTATACCTCCTTTGTCTATTTCCTTTTAATAAAATTTCACCATTACTAATCCCAGATAGAATAAATGGAAGGAAAAATAATCAATATAATTTATACAATTATTCTATTTTTATTATTTTCGGTGTATATGCATATGCATATTTATATGGGTAAAGGAAACAACTTGGATATAGCTAATATAATTGGAAATATAAGAATAAGCATTCAGTTACAAAATTTTTTCTTTTCCAGTATTTCAAAATGAAATCTTCCCATGAATAAAGGTGTTTTTGATAAAAACTCTCAAAAAAAATCAGAAGATCAGAAGGGACCTGACCTGATATGCAAGCATAGTTCGCTGGGCATCTGGAGTTGTAAGAACAATGACTGTACCCGTTGTTCCATCTTTGATGGGAGCAGATAGAAAATTTACATTTGCCCGGTGTAATTTTTCCCTGAGAAAAAAAATATAAGAAAATACATGTAATATCAGTAGAGAATGGAAGTCACACCAGAACAAAGATTTTCAATTCCTTTCCTTTACAGTAAAATATCTCATTTTGCTAAGAAAAGGTACAGTATAATCATCTCATGAAGCTTTGATAAAAAATATCAAAACAGATTGACAGAATAAATAACTGGTCTTTATTTCTTCCATATCAAATATATTAAGACAGAATAAATAACTAATCTTTATTCCTTCCCCATCTTGCACTAATTCTTCCAAATGGATAAAGAATTTCTCACAAGTGTCAGATTCTAATACTTCACAAATTCTTAAGCAACACTTTTCATTTCCTTTTCTCTTTTTTTTTTTTGATAAATTGTTTCCTTTTCTCTTTAACATAGCACATTATAAATTCTACCTCTTCCCATAGAAATTCAACTTACTTCTTTGTTGTAAATTCTATCTTTTCCACTAGAAAGTTATTGGTGATAAAGATAAACTTTCGATTTGTTTATGTTCCTCTGACATGGCACATGAATGATAAAATTCAAAGTTGCCTTGTTCTTCACACACCCCTCTTATCCTTGTTTCTCTTCTCTTCTTTTCTTTCTTTTTTCTTTTTGTTTTTGGTGGCATGTATAGTCAAACTTGTCTTTCCATATCCATCAATATTAGTTTTCTTTTATGTAAAAATAAAATAATCCCACCAATTATTGGAATATTTTATAAAATGAATTATAAAGACTTAGACCACATTATATGCATATTTATTTTTTTTTTGTTCTTTTAACCTGTCTTTTTTCTTTGTGTGCACATTTTATATTCATCTATATGCACATTGTGTTTTTCATTCATCCCTCTCTTCCATGTATGCGGAAAAACCATCAAATCTCTCTTTTCTGGTTATAAATGAAAATGGAAGATGGAGCTTCAAAATTTAAGAGCAGCCAAGTGCACGAGGCTCCTGCTAATGTGGGGTCTGGGGAGGGACAGATGTATGTAGCTTTATCCCTGCAGATACACAGAGAGGCTGTTTCCAAGATTTGAACCCTGTTTCTATGTATCCACAAAGACATTTCTATATTTTATTCTCTTATGGATTAATTGGCGCTCTAACCAATTAAACAAATAGGTTTTTCTTTAAATAGAATTTGTAAGAATTTAGATCTGCATGTTCTTGTATATTAAGGAGCCATTGCTTGTTATAATGGTAAAGTCTCGAGCTGACAAGAATGAGAAAATGGATTCGAGTCTGAGCAACTACTTTGTGCAAAAAAATGCCAAAGGTTAGGTCCATATCCAGTCTACCCCTCCCAAGACCCCAGATAGATGAGACCGACAATGGGTAATGGCCTTTATGTTCTTTTAGATTAAGTATTCCTTTTAATTTTTTATAAGCAGCACCTCAGTTTTTTGAAGAACACACCACGCCTTGTGCCTTGTACCTCAAGCTCTAAGAACCTGTTGCACTTTAGATTCGTTTCTTGCTTTTGAAGCACTGCTTTCAGGTGTATCGTATCCAATAGTTTTAAACACATGCATGCAAATACTTGAAAGATTCATTTTAGTTGGTTACAACTATCCATTGATGAAAAAGACTGAGAAAAGATCATAAGTTATTTAATGATAAAGAAAGTTAGCACAAATTAATTGAATTCCTGTTGTTTTACAGAGCCATCCAACAACTAAATCAATACTATGGGAATGATAGGGAGTGAATTAAAAGGTAAAGTATTTCATTACTTTGCAAAAAAAAAACATAGTATTACACTGCACAATAAGATACTGTGCAGCAGCAATAATCCTCCTATACAGTTTAGCCTATGGAATTAGATACAAAAAGTGTACTGATTGCAAAATAAAATGAATTGTGTAAAACATCCTTGACATAATTCTAAGATGCCACCCAAGAGTAAATTCTTCCCCATAATATCTTGTGTAGTAAACTAGCAGGCACCCAATACAATAAATTAATCAGAAATTACTAGGAGCAAAAAAAAATTAAAAAAAAAAGATAGAACAAAGCAAAGCCACATAATCTGCTTTTTTATGAAAAGGTACATAATCTGCTTTTGCAGAAATTCTGTCCACTTTGTTAAGTTTCTTTATTACTTATTAGGAAACGACTAGTAATTCTAGCAATGCAGTAACCCTGACAAAAACAATTACATCCACAGCATTGGAGACGAAGAGAACTTCTTACTTCCATAATTAGAGGAGATCAGGGCATTGTTTCGTAAAACAAACTTTAATATGTTTGAAGCTAAAAAGGATGATGGTGGCGATGCTGGTGATGATAATTAATTAAACAAATGAAGTCTAACCTGTAAAACCCACCCAAGGGATCACTTCCTACACTGCCTGCCATAGCTACGTTCAACACAGGGCCTCCAAGGGGCTGACCTCCGAGCCTGGCCAAGGCTACCAAGGTGTTAGAAAGAGACCCGCCGGCAGCAGCCTTGTAGCTACAACCATCATCCATTGCTCGCAGAACTCTACCCCTCTCTTCATGGTTCACGAGCTTCCTTGTCCCCTTTTCTATCTCCACTCTCTCCAAAAATTCATCATCCACCATGCCCGAAAAATCTACCTACGAGGATGAAAACGAAAAAACAAAAGGAAGTTACTATTCATTCCTAATTATTTGAAACTACCGAACTCCTTAGCTATAAAAGCCTGGAAAAGAGAACTGAAAATAATAAATTGCTGATAATCATTAATTTATTATCTATGAAACTAAATATGAAAATAGAATTTCTTCCTTCATTCTGAAAAACGGACTTTTCTTCCTTTTTTCTCAATTATAAAAAAAAAACGGACTTTTTTTTTCAATTGATCGTTAGAATAAAACACAGATGTTAACTAAAACTAACTAATTCAAAAGGCGTCATAATTACAAATAAATCGAATAAAAAAGCAAATAGCAACAACAAACTAACTTCACTACAATACAATTTGAGATAGAAAGAGAATTTAAAGCTACCATGGCCTGCCCGAGACCCAAAACATCCCATCTCTCTGGTCTCTCCTCATTATTGTCATCATCGTCTTTTTCGTCTTCATCACTGTCGCTTCCGCTCTCAAATCCTTTTGTGTATTCCCCTCCACTGCATCCAGTAAAGTTAGAGAAATCCCGAGAAACCCCACCTCGTCTGCCTGAGGTTTCAAAATCACCAGAAACTCTTCGACCCTTCATTACTCTCTCCTTGTCTCTACAACACCAACACCGACTAAACGAATGATGGCGCCATGAATTCTTGGGCGGTTGTTCTTTAAAAGGTAACACCCAGAATTAGGCGGGAAAAGTGGAATTGAAACGAAAGGAGAAGAGAGGGTGGTAGCACCGGCACCACAGAATGGAGGTCGACGATGAGCCTCCATCATCCGACCCGGCCAATGCTTGTCAGCCTTCGATTTGGCATTTTGGTATTTTTATTAATGGGCATTTTACTAGAACACCCGTATAGTTTCACGGATTTACTTAAACTACCTTATATTTTGCACGTTAATATAACACCCTTTATAGTTGTTTTCATTAAGAAATATTTGTTTTGTCATAGTAACATGATCACCTAAAAAAATGTTTAAGGGCATGGATAAGTGGTTGTTTATTCCAAAAGTACCCCTCATAGAAAATGTTCACGAGAATGGATTCATGGTTGCTTATTCCAAAAGTATTCTTAGCACTTTTTTGTATAGAGAGAAAAATTGACCAAATTGAGATGTCCATGTTTTATTAAGGGCAAAAATGGAATTTTTGTTTTGAATTGATTTTGATTAAATTTATTTGAATGGATGTTAGTGTTAATACTGTCATTTTCAACTTTCATCTAATGGAATGGTGATTAAGTAAATTAATTGCAAACTATAAGGGATGTTTTAATAAAACACAAACTATAAGGTAGGTTTTAGTAAATTCATGAAACTGTAGGAGCTTTTTATTAATTGGCCCTTTATTTATCGATTTTATAAGGGTAAATTTCTTAAACTACCCTTATGGTTTAGCCACTAAATATACCCCTACTGTTTGACTATTGTCTAATGCTATCCCACTGTTTCAGAAAATTACCATTGTTGTTAAAATATTGACATAAGGGCTGAAATTCCCATTTTGCCCTTAAGTCAAATTGGAAGCTCCTCTAATTCTTCATCTTCTTGAGTCTAGTCTTCGTCACCCAAGTTCAATATGGTCTTTATCGATCAAAATTACAGCCATTGCTACAACTTTCAATAGTGGCGGTGATCTTCTTCCTCCACCCCCTTCCCCTCTTTGTTCTCCGAAGCCTACCACCTTCGCTGCCTCTATTGTTCTTGTTGAATCGCCAGATGAATGTCTTCCATTGATGCCCCACCATGATCTCTGACCATTGCCTTACCTTCTTCCATGCTTTCATCCACCATCCATCTTCGCCATCCATCTTCGCTCTCCACCAACCGAATTCTCTTCCACCACACCAATTCAGCGATCTTTGAATGGTTCAAACCTAAATAGGGTATGCAGAAACAACACTTTCTCTTGGAAAACACAACATCCAATAAGCCTTCACCCAATTCCGTTTCTTTGTTCTTGAAATCAGGAGTATCCATTGCCATCCGATTGATAGTTCGAACATAGAGGAAACAAATGTACTTCAGAGGTTAGTAGGGAAAAAGCAAGGAGAAGGATCTGTAACCAATCCTAGAACCCTAAATCTATACTTCTTCTCTCTGCCTCCTCTTTAGTTTGAAGAAGAGAAATAAAGAGCCAAGTCAATATAAGGGCAAAATTGGTGGATTTCTTAATTCACAATTCACTAGTATTACCAGTTGTCTATCACATAAAGTCTTTAACGACTTGTTTCGTTTGACCGGAGGTGGAGGGATCTGTTGCTATAGTGACGGTGATGAAATAGGGGAGGGAGGGAGAGAGAGAGAGAAAGAGAGAGAGAGAGAGAGAGAGAGAGAGAGAGAGCTTGGTGTGTGTGTGTGTGTGAGGGGCTAGAGGTGGAGGGGACTATCGTTGCCGCTAGTTAAGGATCGTTTCAGCTTGGTTTGTCGTTGCTGAAAGGAAGAAGATGGTAAGCATAAAATTGGGTTTTAAAAAAAAATTATATGTCATGTGTGTACAAGTTTTGATGGAATATTAACGGATATAAATCTCATATCTGTAGGTTGCCTGGAAGTGTTACAATATGAATCTCATTAGCTTTTCTTACATTTCATGTTAGTGTGAAAATTGATTTATTTTCCATCTTAATGCATTAAGGATGGATGACCCTAGTGCTTGAAATGCAAATTATCCTAAAAACCTCAATGAATCATCTATGGCATCTAGCTCTACTTGAAAGAGGGTTAAGTCTAAAGCATGAGAGCACTTTAAGAAAATAAAATTGGATTTTAGTTTCTAAAGGGTTAGGTCTATTTGCAAACAATGTGGAAATAGTATATAGGAGGAAGTTCTAAAGGAATGGGCCACCAATTAGGGAATGTATCCAAATGTCCTAAATTAAAAAAAAAAAAAAAGAGAAAAGCACTAATTAACAAGAAGTTGTAGAAAACTTTAAATTTGACCAAGATAGGAGCCAAATGGATTTAACAAAGATGATAATGAAGCACTGACATCCTTTTAGCATAGTTGAGAAAGAATTTTATCAAATATTTGTCAATACCATCATTTAGGTTTAATTCTACAAATACAATAAAGAATGATGTCATAAATATTTACTTGGATGAAAAGGATAAGCTATAAAAATACTTTAATGGTTTGTCTTATTGGATTAGCTTAACCACTAATATATGGACTTCAAAACACATGTCTTATTTAATAACACATTTTATAGATGTTGGATGGGAGTTAAATAAGAAAATTATTGCATTTATGTCAATTGAGTGTCCCCATGAAGTTGTTATGGAGAGATTGTTGACTTAGAACATTGATATTTTTAGTTTTTTTTTATAGTTGACAATGCCTTTAACAATGATGTTATAGTTAGAGAGCTCAAGAATTGATTTTGTATTAAGGATTTGCTTCTATTGTATGGTAACCTATTTCATGTGAGATATACTGGTCACATCTTAAACCTTATTGTGCAAGATGGGTTGAGAAAGATATCACTATTTTTTAATAAGATTGGAGAAAGTAATAAATATATAAAGATAATACCACATAAGAAGCAAAAATTGACAATACAAAAAACCAAGCAAAAGTACAACATAAAAGAGCGATTGTTAATTGTCCAACGCAATGAAACTCCACATATGACATATTAGACATAACTTTAGAGTTGAAGGAAGCATTTTATCAACTAATTGAGCTCAACCATTTCTATGAGACTCTACCATCTAATGAGGAATGGGAGATGGGAGTAGTGATATGGGATTATTTGCAAGTTTTTTTAAATATCTCAAGTATTACTTCTTTAACATCAAATGCATTTTTTCTGATATTTGCACAATCAAATTTTTGTTGCTTCAGTGGTTAGGTAGTGAACATGAGTATGTTCAATGGCAAATAGAATGAAGAAAAAAATTATTTTATATTGGGATGAATGTTCTTTGGTGCTTGTGATTACTTTTGTATTTTGATTTTAGGTTTAAAATGGAGATTGTAACATATTACTACAATCTCATTTATGGAGAGATTGTTGAGAAGCATGTTACAAGACTTAGAGAGGCATTGAATGACTTATATTTAGAGTATGTGGGTATTGGTACAAAGTATAGGTCGCCTATAGGCTCTGGTATTGCATCTCAACCACCGAGGATTCTAGGGACTCAAAAGTTAGAGTTGGACCTATACCTTGAAGAAAAATTATTTCTTAGGGACTAAAAAATTAATGGTTCCAAGTTTTTGAAACTCTCTAGATTGGCATGTGATATTTTGGCAATTTCAATACCCACTATAGCATCCAAGGAACATTCACTATTGGGGGTAGAATAGTCTATTAGTATTATACTTCATTACTTCTAGAGATTGTGGAAACTTTAGTTTGTTGATAAGACTTGTTAGAAGCTCCAACTATAAAGTAAGTTAAAAGTTGGATCTTGAAGTAGATGCTAACTCTCCTATATGTTTTTGGTTCTGTATTATTATGTTTTAGAATGTTATCTTGTAGGAACTGCTACCTCTCCTATATGTGTGGCTTTTACAATTGACATCAGCCAAACATGTAAGTTATGACAAATGATTTATAATTAACTTATTGATTGCAAAATGTTGGTGCTTATCTAATATGATTAAGAAAATGATTTGTTTCAAGATATTGGGGCATATTCCATGCATCTAGTTTGGAAATTTTTGCTTTGCATGTTATATTTTTTTATAATTGTTTATAAAATATTTGCTTTTAAAATTTAGATTGGATTGGACTAGACATGGTTCATTTATATGGTTTATATTGAATTAGGTTGAGTTGAACCAATATCTAGCCTATTAACAAAAAATGAGTGGGGTTTTCCATGGACCAAGTTGGGGTTGGACACAATATGAATTAAAATCAATTTGAACAAGATAGACATTTCAATAAGACATTGAATTAAACCAGTCAATCTAACATCAAGCACTTTGCAGGTTGCCTGTAATAATACTTTATTTAGCTTGACCAATTTGTAACCTTATAAAAGTGGCTAGATGTGTGAGACAGTGCTTCCTAATCACATCTTAGAAACAGAAGCAAGGTGCATCTTCATGAAAAGAAAATAGAGATTTTCTACTATGATTCCCTAAAAAAGGAGTTGTCACGTTAGCATACATTTCAGAGGTATTCCAAAAAAGTTGATGGATTGGTTTCCTTCTTTCTTTTATTTTTCATTTTTTTTATTACAAAGTGGTCAAATTTGATGGGGCTTAGTTCTAAATGCAGACTTTTCTACTTGTAATTCTAGTTAGTGTAAAAGTGCTTGGTGCATCATTGTTAATTGTTTTCTTTTTCCTTCTTTTCTAGTTAGACAACTGATAAGGAATTGGTAGGGTTTCCCTGTTAATGGAGGAGGCTATTCAAAGTTGCTAGATTAGAACCATAATTCTTAGTAATTGAATGATGAAATGTATATGTATGAATGCATCCATATAGACCAAGTGTTTGAAGTTTCTATTGTGTTTCATTTAGAACTGCTATGGGTGCCCCTATCAGCAAAGAAAATAGTGGGAGATTAAGTTTAACTCCTATGAGAATGGAAATGAATTCTCACTCCTCGGTACAAGGAATTTGAGGATTAGTCAACATGGTGTTAATTCTATTATGGATGTTATTAAGGTGTGGCTTCATAATAACTTTTCAAATTTTAATGTATTTAAACTATTGGAACGGGCAACTTACACTTTGTTGAAGTATTGTTTCTGTAAATATTTTTCAAGAATAGGAAGCTAAAATCTTTTGATTTGGATTGTATTTGGTAGGGCATT